GAATGCCACCGTAAAACTCCTTAGCATAGCCTACATTGGGATGTAAGACTGTCGTATGAGAAAAATAGACTACGACACTTGTAAAATTTTAACTCTGCATACCCATATTATCAAAATGTTTAGAATTTTACACAACTGAACTATTCTTATTACTGGTTGCATTTCAAACCAAAAAGTGTGTTTGTTTAGTTTCCACTTCATCACTGAGGAAAAAGAATTACAGCAAACTGTTTGACACAAAAGCCATTTAACACAGAATTACTGTTACTGTTACCGTGAATTTTAAATGATTTCAAATCCATCTTGTTTTGAAAGAGGACAAATCATACAAATCCCATGAAGTTTCTGCAGGGTTTTATTGCATGTAAAAGTTTACGTCTCCTGCAAATATACAGAAAAAAATATGACAATAGTTAGTTTGTAGTATTGTGAGTAAAAATTTGAAAGTGAACAAGTCGCACAAGTACGGTATTTAATTTAATTGACCTACATAGATCTAGCATAACTACAGGCAGCAATAAACCTAGATCTAATGAATCTAAGTTCCACTTACCATAGGATTTATGTAATTTTCTAAATTATATTATTGTCTCCATCGCTGCAACGGATACAGTTGCAACAGAACCGCACTTTCAGTATGAGACAGTATTTTATCTTTCAGCCTTTACAAAATGAAACCTGTAGATCTAATAAAACTGTTTGAATGAACGAAATTTTATCAAAAGGATTTTTTTTTTCTTGTGGGTGCTATGGTTTTATCGCAATGACGAGTGAATTGTCATACACTGCCGACAACGTTACAACCACAACGAAGACTTTGTTTTCTTTACAAAAACAACTTAACTGTACTGTCTACAATAAAAACATTTTGAATTCAATCCTAATGATACAATTAACCGACTGAGGGGTTGAACAAACAAAGAAACAGTAATAAAGAGGTAGAGGAAGCATCATTGTTGTGGTTGCATCGGGGGTGACATTTCCACTTTGTCATCACTTGGTCACCTCTTTGTCATGATTTCCACTTCTATGGAAAGCACTGTGCCCTTTCTGTGTTCGCAGTGACGGTATTGTTAAAACAGATTGAACAAATTGTCTTAAGACGACTATGATACCATTTATATTCTTAATTTGCTAAATATACCATGTCAAACGTGACGGTCGTATCGAACTTACCTTAACGTGATGGTTGTATCTCATGCTGCAAAGTGGGTGTGACAACAGTCAACAGGATGTGCACTCATTGTGAAGATTCAAAAGAAAAAGAGTCTTCCGGTTTTGAATATAGCAGTTGGAGCAGTTTCCTTTCAGAGCATTTTAAAGCACAAAATTGAGAAGACAACGAAACAAAATGATTGCGTTGTGGTCAGCAAAAAGTGACAACAACATAGATCTACCTTAAAAGGGACTACTTTTTTGTAGACTTAGGCAATTAATACTAATGTTTTGCCTGTTCACATAATTGAAAGTAGCTCCAGTGTCTATATAAGTTCAACCTCCGAGAAGGTAGACATTTTCAACACCAAGATGTGTGAACTACTAAATAAACATACACCGGTCAAATCCAGAACAGTGACTGATCGACCTTCTGCCCCGTGGATGACTTTGGAAATTAAACAATCTAAAATGGAACGTAGGCGAGCTGAAAGACGCTGGAGATCAACAAAGCTGAAAATTCATGAGGACATTTATAGACACTGTAACAACATAGTGAAATCGTTAATAACATCTGCCAAATTTATGTATTATAACGGTAAAATTAATTAATGTACCACCTATAAAGCTTTATTTTGTATAACAAATCAGTTGTCTGGTAAGAAAGATCCGGCCAGCAACAAGTTTCCCTCGAATGTACCTAAAAGTGACCTTCCTGATGTTTTTGGTCAATACTTTAGAGACAAGATATCCACGATCAGGAAAAAAATTGACACGACTACCCATAAACCACCATGTTTTGAAACATTTTCTGGGGTAATCTTTAATGAATTTGTATGTGTAACACAAGAAGATGTAAGATCAATCATAATGTCATCACCCCATAAAACATGTAGTCTTGATCCCATTCCGACACCACTGCTCATCACACATCTTGATAGTGTCATTGGATTTATAACTACTATCATTAATGAGTCTCTTCAGTCTGGAGTAGTACCATCACTCTTTAAGCATGCTTTAGTTATTCCCCTTCTCAAAAAAAAAAATCTTTCCCCTGAGGAGCTCAAGAATTTCAGACCTGTCTCCAACCTTCCTTTTTTAAAATAAAAAATCTTGGAGAAAGTTGTTTTGGTTCAATTGAAGAATCATTTAAAAGAAAACAATTTATATGAATTAAATCAATCTGCCTATCGGCAATTTCATAACACAGAAACTGCGCTATTGAAAATATATAACGACCTCTTGTGTGAGGCGGATGAGAACAAAATATCAATTCTTTCTCTTCTTGATCTTAGTGCTGCCTTTGACACTATAGATCACACTATTCTTATTGAACGATTATTCAACACGTTTGGCCTGTCTGGCAGGATTCTTGACTGGTTCAGGTCCTACCTGATTGGCCGTACACAATCTGTGGTTGTGCACGACTCTCTTTCGAAAATTTTTAAGCTAGACTTTGGAGTGCCTCAAGGTTCAGTATTGGGTCCAATCTTGTATACGTTATATACACAGCCGCTTGGAGCTGTGATTAGACAGCACAATATGAATTATCACATGTACGCTGACGATACACAGTTATATAAATCTGTTCCACCATCAGATGTTAAAACCTTGCTTACTACCATGTGCATTGGCTTCCCGTGTCAGCTAGAATGTCATATAAAATTGCTATATTATGTCATAAATGTGTCAATAACAAAGCTCCCTCATATCTTAGTGATCTCATCCAGATTTATATTCCATCCAGATCACTAAGATCAGGCGATCAGTATCTTTTAAGAGTTCCTAGAAAAGGGGGTAAAAAATTAGCTGAAAGATCGTTCGCCCACCTTGCTCCGTCAGTTTGGAACTCTCTCCCCCAACCCTTGAGACATACAACATCTGAGTCTAAATTTAAGAAATCTTTAAAGACACATTTAATGACATCCTTTTTATGTCAGTAGACTCATGTTCAGTACAATGCTATGTAAATAACTATGTATCCATTTATGTATTTTGTGAATTGCATTGTGTATATTATTTTATGCTCATATCGTGACGATGTGTAAGCGTGTGCTTGTGATAAGTAAGTAGATGTGTGTGTGTGTGTGTGTGTGTGTGTGTGTGTGTGTGTGTGTGTGTGTGTGTGTGTGTGTGTGTGTGTGTGTGTGATTGGCATACATGTGTGTGCACATGTATGCGTGTTATGTGTTTGTGAGTGTGTATGTGTGTGTTTGTGTGTGTATGTGTATATGTGTGTGTGTTTGTGTGTGTGTGTGTATGAGTGTGTGTATTGTGCGTGTGTGTAGCGAGCGTGAATGTTGTTTGTACATGCATTTATGTAAAGCGCCTAGAGCTGTGTTTACATGGGAGTGGGTGCTATAGAAATGATCTTCATTATTATTATTATTATTTAAGAACAAGTCCCCCGTTCACTCCCTAGCCCAAGGAGGATGTTGTTTTATTTACAACAGTTTTGCGCGACATACAATACAACTATTACAACCGAAACGCGATTTTTTTTTTTACTATAGTCCCGTGGGCAGTGTATCAGGACGAAATGGAAAGAAAAACATGCGTGAGAGAAGCCATACGTTTCTATTTGCAGGGGGATACAAAATTAAGCACACAAGTCCAGTTCTTTTTTAAATATTTATTTGGCTTCCTTTGGGCTTTGCACAGAATTACGTTTTTGGAAAGTAAGAACACCCCTATAATTCATGAAGATTTAGTAGATTAAAAAAACAAATAGAAAGATACTTATTAATGCCATTGCATGTTATCTCTTGAGATATTCGTTAGTTGCTCTACACAAGAAAAACAAGTAGATTTAGCAGTAAAATAATGTTTTGGGGGTTCTAAAAAGCCTACCCCTCAGTTGGGTGACGTTTTGGCAATGGCTCTTATCAGTTGAAGCCAACTTGAGTAGATTACATGAAGGAAAATGATTGATAAACGAAGCCCCGAAAATTGAGGAATTTTCTTTTTTTTATGATAAAAATAAAAATCGCTGTTGAAAATAATACATTTATTATCAATGTAAAAAGGCAGGCTAATGGTAAAACATCTTTGAACAACTCAACGAAAATGCAGAATATAAAAAAAAAACTGATCGATATTCCGATGCATAATATTATTGTGTCTGTTCCCCATCTCCCTCACCCATGTGGCCTTTGTCACTCCATGTGAAATTTAAAAAAAGGGGGGGGGGGCAAATCATTATAATAATATAAATGATTTCTCCAATCATCAAAGAGAGAACC